TAATTTTGATGATCATTGGAATTTCTTTAGTTTTGTATATAAAAGTTAATATTACTTATCAATGTTCGAGGAAAAACCTGTAGCATTGTGGAATGCCTTTTATTTGTTCATACCCTCTTTGCAGAATTACAACTACAGAATTGCAATATATGTTTTAATATTACCTTATATATAATGTTTAACCTTGATGACTGTATAAAATTATCCCAGACCAGATAACAAATAAAATATATTATTCAGCAAAAACACATTTTCTTTGTTGTCTATAAAAGTAGGTAGCCTATAAAACTTCACCCAAACGATAAGGAAGATAATATGGCATGTTTGATTTAACTACGCACTTAAAAGAAAGCACCGATTAGCATTATGAAACCCTTCAGAGAGTAATAAACACTTTTTATGTTACATTGCGGTGAAATATTCCGTGTCTCTTACAGCAAAACACATCAGGTTAAAAGGTTAGAAAGAAAGGCAAGGCATGCCAAGTTTTTCAGCAAACTCCGGTATAGGACATTAGTGATAATGGGCATTGATTGATTTACTGGTTTGTCTCACTATTGTCACTACATATATGAAGATAAAAATGAATTTTAAAAACATCATTGAAAGATCGATAAGATATTGAAAATATTGAATATTTTGTATCCTTGCTTTGTTATGTCAAAGGGGCACCACTGAGGATTTTTGGCATGAAGGGACCGGAAATATTTTTTCAAGGCTTTTGCATTAGTGTATGTAGGTGTGGAGCAATAACTCGCGTGTAAAATTTCAGATCATTTGTTTACTACGTTTACCTGGTATTATCAATTGTATTGCGCAAATTGACCCCAAAATGAAAAGCGCCTTCTCAAACCGACCGAACAACCGCATAGAATTAAGAACCGAATATATTTACTTAATATAATCTTTTGCATAGTTTTTTTATATTAAGTGCACCAGTTGATTAATGAAAAATTTTCAAATTGTATTATTTGGCTATTATACCTCAAGAGGGACGGACGAATGTGCGATTTATTTAAAGAATTCATAAATAAATGAATTGATGTAAATGAATTCGCTACGAATCAAAATGCACCGGCCTCTGGTCATGAAATTGCCCACAATAAATAACAGACGAAGCAAGAAGACGCAGTAATCGACACAAGCCGGCTTTACTTATGCAAATATAAAAAAGACGTACGATAAAACAAGTAAAGTAGAATTTAATAATTATAAAACAGATTTAAAGCCGCATGCCTCCAGATGAGCCAAACTATTTCAAAAATATAAATCTTGAGATAAAAAATTCAAAAAAGTTAAACGATTCAAGGGTCAAGCAATAATTTACAAGTTATGTGCGATTAAGACTGATTTCGAATTGTTTATCATAATATTTCTACTGTGTGCTTAAACAGTTAGTATTATGCTTGCATATTTTGAACTGTTTTTTTTTTGGCAGTATACAGTAACTGCCGTTTGCAATGTGTAAATTACTTTGAACAATTCCTTGCTCTATAAACAAATTTGTTTGTTTTTTTAAATTCAATTAAAAATTTTCATGAAAATCAGCATTATTGATGAGGCATGATTCTTTAATATAAATATCTCGCTGGTATATCAAAAACTTTCTTTATTCCATATTTATCGCTTTAACATTAATTTTAATGTTCTTAAATCTCCTATATCTATTCTGATAATCAAGAGTATCTCTGTATATCTTTCTCAATACTTTGTTCCATTTTGTTTAGACCTCAGCTGCTAACCTTCAAAGTGAAGAGTTCTTTAATGACCTAGATTTTCATCACAAAAGGAAAGTACTCCATGCTTAAACTCACAAATATGTTCCCTGTTTCTAAATTTTGATGAGGGTTTTGATATTTGTCAGATAATTACTTAAAACATTAAATATAAACTATAACATTACACATTAAATGTATCATAAACTTCCGGCATGCATCTGAAATGAAAGGAAATTTATAACAACAGACAATGAAATGAATACATGTGCATGTATTTACACAAAAGATGCGATACATAACACATACAATAGAAAAGAAGAATATGAAAATTAAAGGAAAAGAACTTCTTTGTCAAGTTTTTGTGTTTTCGCCTTGCGGAATATAAGTACGACGAATTGGTAACTGTCATATATTCGTATTTTTGCCCCGCGGAGAAAAGTACGACAAAATGTTGACTTCGTCGTATTTTCGTGTTTTTGCCTGACTTCCGCGGAGGGAAAATTAGACATGGCACAAATCAACCATCACAATTAATATCAGAAATGACATTATATTCTGATCGTTATATTCAAGCAAGTATATGTTGTTTTGTGTTGTTTTTTGTTGTGTTTTTTGTGTGTTTGTTTTTTTAAATTGAAAAAAACAGAACTTTCCGATAATGTCCATTTCAAAGATAATGCGGTTTCATTAAAGACGAAACATCATTTTATTATTGTGGACATGTTTTAGATCAAACAATAACTCAATGCTGCAGCGTTTTGCAGAGACAATTTTTAGGCATGTAACTATCAGTTATCCTGGTTTGTTTTGCTTTCTTTCAAAATATGGTTCTTCATTTTATCTCTGATGTTACAGATTATATAGTTAAATACATTTCATTAATTATGTCCTGAGTACATCCTTTCTGATAAATTCATTTAAAAACCACTTCATCCTTACATAACAGTTGTTGTGGACCTCAATGTTTCAAGTCTTTGTGTATTTTGTATCTTAAAATATTCGATAATGGTGAATATTCTTGTCATACTGAAAGTGACTTTGTCCTTAAGCGTCAATTTAATGCCATTACTGCACTCAAACCAGTTCGTCAGCCGCAATATGAACGTTTGATAAAAATGCCTCAGAAACTATTTTTTTCTTCTTTAATCAGTTCATACATGAATTTAATATCGCTTAAATAATTTCTTGGGGTGTTATATGATGCTTATCTTATGAAGAAAGAGTTTTAATGTGATATTGTTTGCCATTTGTAGCAAAATGTAAAAAAAGAAGTTTTTAGACTTCCATACAAAATAATTAAAACTATATTTATCTGTACTAATAATCAAAATGCAACGGAAGCAAAAGATGGTTCAGATAATTGATCAATGTGTACATTTTGGAAACCATAACAGGTTGTCAAAATAAATGGCTTTTTCAGAAAGCAAAATAAAAAACATTTCTAAGGTAGAAAATACCTTTAAAAATAAGCGAACAATTATGTTCACGAATATATTCAATTTGCTAAGGATTTGTCATCCGACATTTGTGTTCATTAAATGAGTATTCTAAAAAGAAAAAAGCAATGATAGACACAAGAAAAAATGATTAAAGTGTAATTATTTACGTTTTTTTGTTGTTGTTGTTTTTGTTTTTTGTTGCTGCTTTTTTCTGTTTTGTGCAGCTCTGATGACCAGCATTCACACATTTCATTAATTAAGTAGTGAAACAATTAACTGTTATAATGTTCCAGTTATATAATGGATTGATGAGGTCTTAATACAGGCTAAGATGTCTTTTCTTGGAAATAGTGAAATATTCAAGACCAAACTGAAAAAGGAACAAAATACACATAGTTCATGAAGTGCACATAACATTTGCATAAGGAGTGCATAATATGACATGTGGATATAAAAAGCTGCAAACAGTATTTGCTGTATATTTGTTAAGTGCAACTACGCAATTAAATAAGGTGTGCAAATATCAAGTGAACTTTTCCTCATGATGAACATGCGTGATTTATTTCAGGAAAAGGCCACTAGTGAAAACTTCAAACAATAAAAGCTGTATTATTGTGTTATCCGGAATAAAATGGAAAACCCAAAAGAGTGTGAAGTACCATTATAGTAAACAATACTTTACAAGGAAGTATGATTATAAGAATAAATGTGAAACTATATTTTAAGTAACAATATGTTCACCCAATGGCATATAGTGACGTAACATGTGAAAGTCAAAATAAGTGTTTATTTGGCCACAATTACTTCCAATGTTATGATTAACTTGATATGAAAGATAAATATCTTACTTGACCTAACGAAAATTCTGTAAATATCCATCGAAATTTACTTGAAACGTTCAATTTAGAAAAAGAGTTTACAGTCTATTTATATTCTTTTTAAAACTTATATGTGCCAAGGTTGCAGGAAAGATGCCTCAGCTCTTATTGTCTTTTAATAAAAAAAGCTGCAATTTTCGCAGAAATTCAAGTTAGTTATGACGCAAATGTGACTGTCTTTTGATCTCATCATAGGTACTTTTATCATCTCTGTAATATTCAGAAAGTTCCGTGTACTGTTTATTATCCTCAGCTGGAACAGTAGAGATACCAGTGGCCTTTCTGTTGCTGCATTGTTGATTCTCTTCAATATTTGTTTCGTCTTCTACATGATTCTTCAAATCGTATGAAAGGTTTACATACTCCCTAAAAGATAAATTATTTATAAGAAAATCAAATAAACGTGGTAGAAATTATTGATGATACCTAATCGGCTCATTAAAGCTCCTTTGCCAAGGTCCAAGTAGATTATTACCTTAAGATAGTAAACCATCATGTGAGAACAAATATTGATGACAACATGTTTTAGCTTTTTCAAAAATAATAATTTAAATGAGAACATCCAACTCCTTACTAATACTAGCGCCATTTTGAAACAAGAATATATACACCCCTATCCCATTTTTAAAGTATGTTTTATGACGACATAAAAGCCGCGTCATGACAAAACCAACATAATGCGTTTGCGAGGATCAGCCTGCGCATCTGCGCAGTCTGATCAGGATCCATGCTGTTCGCTATCAGTTTCTCTACTTGATATAGGGTTTATAGGTGAACAGCATGGATCCTGGCGCAGCTCATATAAATAATACAAGTTTGACTAAAAAACGGATAGGTCTCTGCGAGAAATGACAAATTATGAATTTAAAATATGCTTCTCAGCATTAAAATTGGAAAAATGGACCCGGTCTACACTGATTGTACTTCTAAATCTGAAATATAACTCAATCAATTGATAGATATAATAATGTTTAAAATATCTTACACATACTTCGTATTTTGATCGCCTAACTGTGCGCCTGTGGAAAGAAAAGAAAATGGATAAAGGAGAACAATATCATAAATAAGATAAACGTACGTTTTCATATCAAAACTTTATTGAAATGTATACAATCATATACCTTTTTAGTAATCAAACTTTGATATCGTAGTTTTAAATGTGTGCTGGATTTTTTTCTATAGCTAATCGTTAATGAAGTTGCATATTGAAATGCGTAAGAGTTTGGTTATGTTTAATATTGTTATATCGGATCTGAATTGTTTTAAAGATTAAAATAAAAGAAGCAACTTATTTAAATAAGAAATTCCAAATAGACTTTAACCATTTGAGGTAAAAAGCTTTCAAATAGAGACCTTTAAAATTTTAAACATTACTATAACGATTATGAATTATAATGAAATAGAAAGCGAAAGGTATTTTATTTGTCATTATCTGTCACACAATGCTTTGTTAGTACTAAAGCATGACATATAAATTCTTAAAGTTATGTACGTATATTAAATAACTAAAATAAAATCACCAAAGTTAATTTAATTTTACCATTTTTAGTTGATTTCGTTCTACACAAAACGATAACTAGTACCCCAACAAGTATTGCGATAACTACTCCAAGAGATATTCCAATTATAATGATCGTGTTTTTGTTAGAATCATATTTGTCACACTCTGTGGCATGGCCAGGTACCTCTTAAAAGAGAAAAATCTGTGACAACAAGTTATGCAACAACAAAACAGAAATATATCATCCGTTAAATAACTACATTGTGATAATACTAAAATCTAAAACAAAAAGAACTGTCGTTTGAAACAGACAGATGATGCCCCCAAACAGGGCCCATTAGAGGAACCATGGCATGATTACTATTAAAATATCAAAAGTATAAATACAAATTCGTTCTCGTGTTCTCAGCGAGCTCAATTATTTCCATATATGACAAAGATGGGACAAGACACCAACATCAATGTAGTACTACTATTTTGACATTCAGATAAAACCTTCACATTTGAATATGTCAACCTGGCGTTTTGTGTGTGATTAGCTAAATCCTTCTTTGTTTCTTGACTATTTTTGAATAGTCATAGATTGTCATCTAATCAAAAAGTTGACTAATATTCTCATTTGTTCCGATACTGAACAATGATGCTAGAGTACTGATATATTTCATTTTAACGACTTGATTTATAAAAATACATGTATCAGGTTGATGCATGGACAGAAGAATATCTGGTCTCAGAATTGAATGATAATTTCATATTAAGTTCAGGTGCTAGCGAATACTGACGACAATCAAGTAAGTCACCTCTACACAAAAACATTCTCAGCAGCGCCAAGGCAACAAAACATAGACGGTACAAGTTCACGATAAAAAAGGAAAAAAACTATACCTTTGTCCGATATCTTTTCTATTAAGTTGTAGTGTTGAATGTAAGTCCCTAAACTGTTATTTACAGTTAGTTTATACTGACCATAATCTGTATTTGTTATGTTAAGGATTGTCAAAGAAGACTGCTGTGCTGTTGATAATATAAGTACATCTCTATTGGCTAAAACAGGTGTCCACTTAGCATCATTTCTCTTCTGCCAAAAGAATCCTTTTGCGCCTGGATATGGGTAGGCTAAAGCGGTAAAACTCATTTTGGCTTGTGTGTGAAGTAACCTTGAAATATCCTGACTTATCTGATGAAGTGGGCGAGGTTTACCTGTGATAAGACATAATAAGATAGGCACACTTATTTATAAATATGTGATACATTTTTAAAAATAGGTACAATAAAATGGTTTTATTCTTAACTTGTAATGTATATTGTTCTAAGGTCAATGATATGGTACTTACAATTAACAAATAACTGGATGTTCCTTCTTGAAGACCGTCCAATCTTGTTGCTTCCTTCACACGAGTAGTCACCGCTATCAAAGCATGATACGCTACTTAATGTGAATGTGACATGATTAACATCATACGATTCATTCTTAACATCGTCTTTAAATAAAATTTTTACAGACGAAACTGGATTGCTATCAACTTCACATAAAAACTGCAGACCTTTATTGTTTTCGTCCAGAATCACATTTGACGTCCCTTTATGTTCCTTCACATCAAATGCAGAAACTGATGTTGGATCTTAAACAAGCAGAATAGAAATAAATTTCAACGAGTTGAATCCTATGTATGGTAACTTTACTTTAATTAGACATAATGATTAAACAAATGATGAATGATTTGACAATTTGTATGAAACAATATTTAAATTTTATTCCGTTTTATAATCATCATAAACTTATGATTAATATTTAATCATTTGTTGCACAATATTTAATGGCATACATTTGACAGTATTTGCAAACTTTACGATATTACTAGAAAACTCTATCGGCGACAAACGTAGTAAAGGCTATCAGCACAAGTCAGCACACCATGTGCCTAATTTTATAATTATAATTTCGCACATTCTGGTCATTCCTCGGTGTGTCAGAAGTTCATATACTTCTAACCACTAGTCCTTCACCACTGTTGGTTCGAATCCTGCTATTGACTTGGGTCGTGTGGGGGTTGCTTTCATTAAACGCCGCCTTTCCTTGTTGATCTTGTTTATAATATTTCTTTCTTGGATTCTTTAATGTGATAAAGCCATCTGGATAGCTTCTATCACCAAATTAAAGAACATCGATGGATCAACTAAGGTGTCTGAAATAATGCACAGAAGGGCACATGAGGTCTTTCTCCACCAGTTTAGCTGAAAAGTCGTCACACGAACCTGATGATGATGGTGCGATTTAAAGAATAACCAAGCAGCATTCACATGTACCATAACTTTGATTACCTATATATATTTAAATGATACATGTTTGAAACACATTGATTAATGAAACAAATTTCGCTAACAAAAAACATCCAAGAAAAATGTCTGAGAACTAGACCCTGTATGATAATCGTCAACTGTTTGTCTTAAATCATTTGTTGCAGTGCAGTTGTACAGTCCAACATCATTTCTGCTAATATTATGCTTGACGAGTTGATTGTTAATAGTTGAAGAATCGGGTATATGATGCCAATCGTTCGCTTTTGAATTATTTAATGCTCTTGTCCATGTATAAGTATTTATAAGTGGATTTCCTGGATCAACAATACATTCAACTGATAGTGCTGATCCTTCAACTATTGGCCCGATTTTAAAGGGGCGTACAGACGGACCATCTGAAATAATAATATCTAAATGGTGAATGTATATCAAATGTAAAATTATAAATTTGAATCGTTTTACAGTTAAATTAACTTTAATCAAACAACAACTTGCTTAAGGTTTATAAAGATTGACTTTTAAACATGTCGATATTTGAATGACATTGCAACTCAATCTGTTCATACTGTTGGCTGAACTCAGCTGAGGTCCAAAAGGCCTAAAACATAAAATTTGAAAAAATACACAGGGTACTTGGGTACTTAAAAAGAAAACAAAAACATGAAAAAAGACAGTAAAGAATTACATTTAAAATTAACTTAAAAATCTATCTAAAGTGTGATTCGTAGCTCGAGTAAGAGGCATTTACATGCTATTTTCATTTTATGTCATTTTAACCGCCTTCGTGGTCGAGGGGTTAGAGTCGATGACTTCTTATCCATTTACCTCTCTGGCGTGGGTTCGATCCCCGGGAGATGATTTGGTAGTTTAGCGCGGAGGAAGGTAGTCTAGTACTGGTGTAACTCTCCAGGAACGATGGTTAGGAAATTTCCCGCCTATATGACTGAAATACTGTTAGGGAAAGGCGTAAAATGAACAAACAAATAAAATCTCAATAGAAATGATTGATCGGATCAATGAAGAGCGAATGATTTGAAATCTGCGAACAATGTGTTGCTTATTGCCCTTATCAAATGCATGAAACCAAATATTTCAGTCACGTCATACCAAAATTCCATTTTGTAGTCCCTTTAAAAAGCATTTATAACTATAAGGATTTAAAATTAAACAAAATGGTTAGTGAAATCAGATGAAATTTATGCTGGTAATGCTACGATGTCAAAGAAAAGAAAGTAAACTGTTGATGAAAACTTACAATAAACATCTATGCTAAAAAGGTCACTGTCGATGGATGTATATGCATAAGTAACATTTTCCGTTGCTGAACAGGCAAATTGTTTGTCGGAATCTTTCCTGTCAGTGTTTGATATCGTCAATGTATCTTTATTGTTAGAGTAAGTATATCGTTGGTCATTTGCTTCGTTGTTGTCCACTCTCCAGTTGTATGTCATACTTATGTGAGGGTCATTGGGTCTGGTTGTCGACGTACTGCTACATGTTATTATTGCACGTTTTCCTTCTATTGGTACTTTATCCAACTTGATGATTGGTTTCGTAGGTATTCCTTTAAAATTAATGTAGAAACGAGGAAACTGGCATCGTTGCTAAACATGCTAAACAGAATATGTTCCAATAAAACAACACAAAACGATCAGAGATGACATTTTGTTGCTAAATCTCAATGTTGAATATATTTTTATATTGAATAAAAGCTGTGACAGATACATGGTAAAACAGATGCCAAAGAATACTAATAGAACTTGTATGATGAACCTATCATAATAAATATGTATTAACTAAGCCATTCCAGAAGTGAATATCAATAGACAGCATGTATTGTTTCAAAGTTCGTTTCTGTTTTCCATTAAATGTTTGTTTGGATTGGTTGGTTCCTGATAATGAAATGACATCTTTCTAATCTTGACTTGTAGTACAAGCACTTAGAAATGTTCCCGTTAAAACACATGCGTAGATTTAATAAGTATCTAAGATGATTGGTTTCTTCTTTTAAAATTTATCGCGCAAGTGTCGTCGGACTTTTTTATGTGAGAAAGCTACTTAGTTAGCTTACGGAAGGTCGGTGGTTCTACCCAGGAGCCCGTGTGTGCCTGAAATAATGCACAGTGTGACCTGAGGTATTTCTCTACCAATAAAGCTTGAAATACGCTATATGTCCACTACTGTGATGGTGCGACGTATAACCCAATAAAATGTATTCATAATGTCTTTGTTTTTGTCTATTTGTCTCGTTATCTTTTTTGAATACCTACACTTCACAACAATGACAAATGTATTGCTTTACAAATCTCGTATGTGCTTACTTTTATAAGAGTTAAGGTTTTTGTCTATGCAACAACTTCTATTGTTTTTGATTAACTCTTACCTAGAACATAGACAACTACACATTCCTTAAATTCTCTGGTGGCTTGAGTAACTGTAAGTTTGTATGTTCCTGCATTTGATGGTTGTAAGTATTCAAGTTTTAAAGAGAGGTTTCCTGTTGCAGCGTTACCGGTAAATGTACAGTTGTTACAAGGGGATATATAATCTATTTCACCATTTCTATACATTGCAGACAATAACGGACTGTTATTATTCGACAGTATCTGGTTTCCAACCGGAATTGTAGAATCTTCCGAGTTATTAGTTACTGCTTGGAACTGTATTAACACATCTTCCTTAGATCTTGCGTACTTGATAGATGTTGAATTACATCCAAAAACTAAAAAGCAAGAAATCTGTTTTAAAATGAAAGAGACATTTAAGTCATATTAACTGGTCTACATAAAATATGATAAACAAGATCATCAAGGAAAGGCGGAGTTCAATGAACACAGCCCCACCCGAACCAGTAACAAGAGTCAGTGGCAAGGAGCCCATATAAACCGGTTAATTTTCTGTTTAAAGAGTTACGGTCCCTAATGAGCACTTCGTCAAAAATTCCAAAAAAGAATTTTCACCATGATTGACACAACATTATATGTACAAAAGTTAAAATTTACTTACAAAGGACACCTATATGTCAATACGAAATAAGTATAAAAATAACGTAAATTATATAATTAACAATATCCAAAATGATTATGTTCTAGATTATAACATACACGTACTAGATTTGATGTAAAGTGTCTACATTTCTTACATCATTTTAGAAAATGAGAAAGAAGAAAAAATGAGATTTCGCCATGGATTTTTAACACACGAGGTATCAATTTACAAAATGATGAAATATCAATAAAAATGTCCTCTTGTTTCGGTATATTCTTAACATCTTGAGTATTGGTGTTTTTGTTAACCGCCACCATATTGAAAAGAAATGTAGATCACATATGTAGATACAAAATCAACAAGAAAATGTGACATATAATGAACGCATTCTGCCGCACGACCTAGCAATATAGTACTACCGGAAAGGAGCCAAGGAAGACACCAAACAATACAGTCCAGTGTACAAGGACATGTCACCTTACCATTAGTATAAGGTCAAACAGGTAAAACAAAATATTTTCCTTATTTAATACTTGAAATGTTGTTTTATTTAGAAATTACCTTGATTATTGTAGAAAAGTATCCCTAATAACAAATATAAACTATTATTAAATATAAAATACATTTTATGTAGTCTTTATAGAACAACTTCATCAGATGTTAAAAGGAAGTAAATATAGCATGTTTAATTTCAATACGTTTTTTAATTTCAATACGCTTTTCAAAACAAGTACCGATAAACATCAAAAATCCTAACGCATTATGTAATTTCGACCGATATATTTCCTTTTTTAAACTTGTACTTATTCTATTTACTAAAACTTGTGAACAGTTTCAGTTTAATGCAAGCGCGGCCATTATATTAAAACTTATTCATATAACAAAGCTCTCTTTACAAAGCGGGATAATTATATGTCCGCGTCTAAAAGTAATCTAAAACGTGCAATTCATCATGGTATAATGTGTTACTAGAAAGGAACAAATAAATGTTTTTATATTTAGCTAGCTAGTTTGAACTGTGCATGAGTTGTCTTTCTTTTATTTTTTAGATCAGAAATAGGAAGATTGAAAATGCATGTTTTCAAGACATTTATATGCGCTTCAATGATAAATGAGAAAGTCAAGTTACTTGGACAATTAATTACTGCACGTATTAAAGATATGAGATATTCTTTGATAAAAAATGGGGCAAAAAATCAAGAATATAATAACACAATGGTAACTTATATTATTCATAGTTTAAGTAACAATTATTTATAACAAAAATGTGCAAGTTTTATTGTTTTGTGTGTGGTTCATTGAAAACATATAAAATATTATTTGAAAAAATGGAAAAAAAAACGCAATGGCTACTTATCGCATCATACTTTTAGTAACAATTATAACCAAAATGTTCAAGATTTATTGTAAGTTTTGTTTATGGTACTTTTAGTACACTCAGCTTGGTATTTCAAGTATTCCTTACTTGAATACTGTATAATTACACTAGAGTATGTTGCCTTCTTTTAAATTGGTCTTTTAACTACTTTGCTGTGTCAACCCGAGTTTTACTGTGTTGGGCTTTCTTTAGCGATTCTGTTTCTCTATTTTATGACCTCTGATACCCTTTTGAAATTCCATTTTATTGTGTTTTGCCCAATGTTTTGCCCAATTTTTCTTTTGTTTTCGTTATTTCTTTACTTAAATACCATATGTACCATTAAAGGCTGCATGACAATAAAGCTGCGAATATTTCTAAATATAAAAATTGACAATTTCGTAATCAATCTTGAATTCTGCTTAAGCTAGTGCTGGCACTAGGAAATAGCTTGCACTTTGCAGTACCGTCCGTTTATAGGCTCAAGCAACATTTTCAATTTTGACATTTTTTTGACGTTCTTCAAGAATTCTTATTCTTTTCAATGTTCTGTTTAGCCTTTAAAAATTAACAACATCACAACATCAAGATATATTTTTTATTTCATTAAGTATCTTATGTTTGATATAAGATTAACAAGAGCCCGGTTTGAACCGGATGATGCTCCCCGAATAGGTTCTTGACACAGGAAAATACACCTCTTGTAAATTCAGAGTTATGTCCCTAGACGAATAATTCGAAAATTAGGCAATACTGTTCTTTGCAATGGACTTCTAATCATTGAGATCTATCTACCTACAAAGTTTCTTGTTGATATCTCTTATGGATTTTGAGTTATGTCCTGGACAATGTTAAAAATGAACAAAGGGCGATACCTCCAAAATTAGGCAAGGAAGAGTTTCGGTTCTTGTGACTGCGTATTTACCCATTGAGATCTACAAAGTTTCATGTTGATATCTCGTATAGTTTGAGAGTTATGTCTTGGACAATATTTTACTAAAAGAGGATATAATTAAAAACGGGGCTAAAAGAGATATGGTTATTTTGCACTGCACTTCTACCTAATGGGATCTATCTATCTACAAAGTTTTATGTTGATATCTCGTATAATCTAAGAGTTATTTTCCGGACAAAGTTCAAAGTGTTAAAACAAGCAATAACTCCAAAATTAGACAAAATAGAGTATGATTCTTTGACATTGGACTCCGCCTCGATGCCCTCTACCATTGTGTGAAGTATTAACAAATTATCTCCAAGGGTTTTCAAGTTATGCTCTGGACTAGCAACGGACGGACAGAAGGACAGACGGACTAGGCGGTGACTATCTGCTGTCCCTTCGGGGAGCATAAAAATGTATTAACTTACCACTTAAGTATAAACCTTCTAATTTGAATAGATATTTTGAACATTTTTATAATACTACGTCTTACTAACCCATAATAATTAGACAAATATATAATAAAAAAGTAATTATATTCTATTTGACAGATCTTTGTTAAGCTTTACAGTTGTTACTCTAAAATACTTCATCTTCAAAAAGCTAAACTTGCGAGGCCAAACAGTTCAAGGTCAATATTGGCTGCCTAGATGTGCAGACTTTTCTGACTATATGCAGTCGTAATCAAGTGGCAATTATTGCTAGTAATCATAAAAAGATTGAATACAATAACAGTTCGAATACCAAATTACATTTTCTTGATACAGAAGAAGTTAAATTGATAAAAGCCAGCAAATGAGTTTCATCAATGTAGTGCTTACTAAAAGGCAAATATTTACTCTGTCAGATATAATGGGTGTTAGCTTACTAAAGATCATGACCTAGGAATCCTTAATGTGTTTGAAAACAATGCAGGTTAGACCATATTAACCACTATCAAGACAACTTGGGAATTATTCTGATGAATTCTGTACATGCAGTAATTGCAGTTCTAATCTTTAGCACTAAGATTTTCTTGACAAATATGAGGTACATCGGCGTTTATTTCTGATATATCCGTAAAAAAACACTTTGATAGACTAAATACACTAATAAATCATCCGATTTTCTGTCTTTAACATTTATATTTTATTAAACATCCTTTCATTTTTAAATGATAAAAATATAATATTATCTTTATGTAAAGCGTCAAACGCTTATGTTCTTTAAAACACTAACTTATGAACTTAAAGGCTATTTTAAACGGGAAAGCAGTACACAATTGTTATTTAAAACGAAAGGCATCAATTCAAAACTGTGTTTCTAATTTGATTAATCTGCTGATGTTAGATTAGAAAGATAAAGCTTTGGACATTGGTATTACTTTGCACAAAAACAAATATCATCAATTAAGTATATTCTACAGTTCATGATTGCAGCATTGATAAAAATGTGAAAAGATAACTAGTCGAGCGAGGGCAGTCTCCAGTTTTGCCACGGTTATATTAATCTCTTTTGCAATAACCTACAAAAATACTTTGCCACGTAATTCATATTTGTCTGTACATAATGATGTAGCCCATTCAATAAAATAACAGATAATATTGCATACTTACACTATTCACTTATTTTTTCTCGGTCTTTATCAAATTTGAAATAAAACCGCTCTGATAACCTTGTCCTCACTGCTGCCAACATTTTCTTTTAACAAAATACCTCCATGCTGCAAATTTGCATAACGTTGCACATGCATTCGTGCAAAAACTGATTTAAGCTCATAAAACCTAATTACAAAGATATTTTTTATCGGATTTGGGCTTTGATTTCATGTGTAAACGAATTTGATATGATACAGATTCCCAAATCAAGCGCTAGTATATGAAGCAAACATTTATTATTTTGTTAACACTTGGCTGTTATTAAAGTGACAGATAAATCATTCATATGTTACCTTTTACACAAACTTGTCATTAGACTTATGTTTTTATCTGGCACACACTTTTTATTATGCAATTATTGTCAAGTAATAATAATTATAATTTATAATACATGTATACACTGTCTAATATCTTTTAAAGAGGGGTTTTCAGACCTCAATTAAATATAATTAAAAATTTAATCATGTTCATCCTAAAATTTGAAGAATATATTTATTAAAATATAAATTCACGATTGAAAAAGCATAACAACAGAGAAGAACATGTGTAATTTACAATGAAGAAACAAAAAAGTATCATTTATATAACAAACAGAACAATACTTAAATTGAGATGATCTTTTCTTTTGTAATTAATTGTTGAAAAAGATCAATATACCGTACTTTTAATTACTCATATTATGTAATTGTATACACGGTAAAAATTTGATATATTGCAGAAATATGACATATATTTCAAATTAACTTTTATAGTTGTAGGGTTATACGTACCTAAATTAAGTTCTCAAATTTACTAGTATGTAGTAGTTTAGCTTTAAAAAACAATTCAATTCGCTTTTTAATTATCTAAGTGAACGAGTTTCATCTCTCAAATGATTGAAGTTACCAATTTATTACTAGTAGCATTACATTTATGCATGAAAATGATATCATGGGAACCAGCAATTTTTATTTTATTGAAATACCATTTCAGAGCGATGTGATATAATCGTTAGTACCCGGATTCACGGGTAAAAAAAATGACCTGCTTAAAATAAAAAATTAAATCGATTAAACAGAATAAATATTAGCATGTTATGCTAGGGAAAGTTGATATCTTTTACAAGGAATTTGTGGTTACATTTAAAATGCAGCAAAGAAGAAAGTATTTGTGATCAGAATGATAGCGGCTTAAAATTTAACAGGCAGTGATTTAGAAAATTATATGCACAAGGTACTTGTACATCATACTTATGTTGTTCCCCAGGTTAAATATTCATCGGGTCGGATATATCTAGAGTCGGTTATACATTACATCTAGAAATACACAAAGCTGTGTAAATTTATTGAAGCCCTAATCTGAAAAGCTAACCATTATTTCCGGAAGGAATTGAAATGGAGTAAGATAAGCACGTTTATTAAACATAAAACCATAAAGACTAGTGTAAGCACGAGATCCTGCTTTCAGAAAAGTTATTTAGCATATTTGAAAATGCATTTAAACGTATAAAGCATAATAATTCATCCAAATTTTATAGAAAAAAAACACAATCATAGAATAAAGCAATGGAAATATAGATTTCAGGACCTGCAACATTTATAGCATTGGAAATTTTCATAAAATATTATTGGAACTAAAATATTGTTTTACATTATATCCGTACATGTTTATAACTTCCCATTCTCCTTAAAAACACAGTAATTGTTTAATTCGGCAAGACTTAGTACAAAATAAATGAAAAACTGACACAGCTTGTAGACATTTTAAAAAGAGTTATATATAATTCCATGGAAAAGAAAAGAGAAAAAGTGTTTTGTCCTGTTGGCCTTTTATAATCTCAGACGTAAACATATATCTTTTCATATACATTATCTGATATTTTCGTTTTATTTTAAAATCTATTGTTACATGAT